AATCAAACACTAAAACCTTATTCTCAACTTTGACTCCAAACCTTAAAAATCAAACTCTAAAACCTTATAAAGTTTCTCAACTTTAAGATCAAACCTTAAAAATCAAACTCTAAAACCTTATAAAGTTCTCAACTTTATGATCAAACCTTAAAAATCAAACTTTAAAACCTTATAAAGTTCTGAACTTTATGATCAAACCATAAATTTCAAACTCTAAAAACTTATAAAGTTCTCAACTTTATGATCAAACCTTAAAATTCAAACTCTAAAAACTTATAAAGTTCTCAAATTTATGATCAAACCTTAAGATTCAAACTCTAAAAACTTATAAAGTTCTCAACTTTATGATCAAACCTTAAAAATCAAACTCTTCCCAATCCTCCCAGCAGGATGATTAGCTCCATACTCCTCCTTGGTCAGATTCCTGGCCGCCATCAACGCCACGGCGATCGTATCCCCAAACACCATCTGAATCGCCGTGGAAGTCACCGGAGCGAGATCAAACGGACACAACTCTCTCTGCAACGGCAAATGCACGTTCATATCGCAAACTCCGGCGAGGGGGTTCCCGGGAACGGAGGTGAGAGAGACGAGGAAGACTCCTCTGGCTTTAGCGCAGGGGACGAGGCGGAGAAGCTCCTCGGTGGCGCCGGATTTGCTGAAGAGGACGAGGACGTCGGAGGAGGAGAGGGAGGCGATGTCGCCGTGGAGGGCGTCGAGAGGGGAGAGAAGGAGGAGGGGAAGCTGAGGAAGATTAGGGTTTGAGAGATTTTTTGAGCGACGAAGGCGGATTTGCCGACGCCGGTGAAGAAGACGGTGCCGGAGATGGAGAGGAGGAGGCGGGAGAAGGGGAGGGTTTGGGAGAGGGAGAGGTGTTTGAAGAAGTGGTTGAGGAGGTCTTGTTGGGATTTGAAGAGGGTTTCGAGGTTGTCTTTGGTGATGTCGAGGTGTGACGGTGGCAGAGATCCCATTGTTGATCTGAGAGAGAGGTTTCTTGATTTGCTGAGATCTAGAGAAAAAAAAGAGTGTGTTTTAATGGAGGAGAATAGGGGTAGATTGGTAAATTAGTGCTTTGTTTTGTTTTTAGGGTGATTGATTGAGTGAACCTATTAATTAGAGTGTGTATTAATGGAGACGGAGGGATAAATCAGGACTTTGATTACCTCAGAAGCATCGTAATTTTTTTTTAAAAAAATTGGACATGTTGGTGTATGAGTGGCAAAACTGGTTAGAGGCCATGCATCCGTTCAAGGAAATTAGAGAATCCTAATACAAAAACATAAGTAAATAAGAAGTTTAGGTTCTAATGGTGGTACTTGCCATCAGTTACTTGTCTTAAATGGTTTTATACATTTTATCAACTTTGTACTCAAATATGATTTTATACAATTTATCATATTATAAAATGTATATCCTATAAATTCATATATGTAAACTATATATTTCTTTTTTTGTCATATTTTTTTTTGTCATCATAAATTATATAGTTCTATGTCAATTATAATATAAATTTATACAATTTATCACATAATAAATTATGTATATAATTCAGAGTTAGAATATGATATGTGTAACATTTTTGTATATATTTCTAATAATAATGTTAGAATTAAATCGGTTAAATACAAATTTTTATATTAAATATAAGTGATAAAACATAATTATTATATATTTCTATAGATTTAAAATATATCAAAATCAAAACTATTTATTATTCTTTAATTTTATAACCATATTATGGTATTAGGAAAGATATACCTTGTTGGTAAAGGCTTTTAATTAGTTGATTTGTTTATTAATAACTTATCTTATTTTATTATCAATTACTTGCGCAAGTTGATAAGATGATTACCTTATTTTGCCATCAGTTACTTGTCTTAAATGGTATGTTAATTATTGCAAATTTATGACAGTCAATTTTTAATATCTTTCTTTAATTGCTTCATGTTTATTAAAAGAAAACAAATATTACAAGAACCATAAGACCTTATATATCTCAAGAAATGTCTTTACAAGAATTTTTATAACAAATATTTCAGGAACCATAAGACTTAATGATAAAATATGATTATTAATTCATAATTATTCTTTAAATTTGATATATTCTAAATTTTTTATTATATATAATTCTAAACAAAATAATCTTTTTAGGAAGTATTTTTTTAAATATACATTTAATTGACAAATTTAAAAGTTAAATTTTTGTGAAAATATATGTCTATTAAGTAAATTTCTTGTTCTTTTATGATGTCATTTATTAGTAACTATATACATCTGATATTGCATTAATGTGTATGTTCTTTATTTNCTATTAAGTAAATTTCTTGTTCTTTTATGATGTCATTTATTAGTAACTATATACATCTGATATTGCATTAATGTGTATGTTCTTTATTTCCTAATTAGTTAATTCGGAAATATGATGATTACCTTATTTTGCTATCAATTACCTTGGACAAATTTATATGATAATGGTGATTTGAGTTAGAAAAGCCTAAAACTATTATTCATTTAGAAAACCACAAATATAATGGTGATTTGAGATTTAGAAAATCCAAAACTATTATCTTAATTATATTTATATATATATATATATGGATCTTAAAAATGTGATTTACTATATATATACATTTGTTTGTTTTTATATTAACAGATAAATAACACAAATGAAAGACTGTTTGTAGTTGATTACAAACCATTTTTCAGTTTGTTTTAATAGCGATATGCAAATTCAATATTGTTTTCGTCTCGATAAAATTTAGAAATCTATTAAATTATTTTATATTGTACAATTGCTAAAAAAATTGACAATTTTTTGTAGGTTTCTATGAGATTTTTTAATTCATAAATGTTCTTTTTATTTTATATTAATTATGAATTAGATTTAAAATTTCATCACATTTTCTATGGGATTGTGATTTCTATGAGATTTTTATCACATTTTTAATATGTCACTGTCTCCTGTATATCTTACTTACATTTGTTTTTTTAATAGTTAACTTTTATTAAAAACATACTAATGATGTTAATTTTTTTTTTTACTTTGGTTAACTTTCATTTGTTTTATTCTTATACACTTTTTGTGACTTTTTAAGTATTTGTTTCAGTTTAATATTGAATTTAGTTCACATATTTTTTGTGTATATATTTTAAAACATAATTTTCCTTTTAAAAAATTAAGCGACAAAGAGCCTAATTAAACCGATCCAAAAACAAACTGAACTGAATATAAATTGAACTGGACATAAACCACACCGAACCAGACTAAATCTATACTATTAAAACACAAGGCCTTTTTTTGAGGTGCCCTTTTCTTTTGCAAGTATTTACAACCAAATGCCACTGCATTATTTTAAAGCTATGCTTTATATCAAAGCGGTTTTACCCAAGTAAAGTGGGTATGACCCGATGGAATATTCTAAAACAATGCTTTTTATTAATTCTGTTTTATGATTTTATTTTATTTATGCAGCAGAAATCAAATATTTAATTAATGTAAACACCTAACAACTTTCGTTATCCGTTTATTTAAAGAACACCTGCCTATCTTGAATTAACATATCATAATTACAGATGTTTAAGAACAAACTTCAGTCAATATAACACACTGGATTTCAATTATTATAAAGAATATGTAGCAATTTTGCTATATTTATGATTTCTCATGAACACCAATCCTTCAACGTTTATTAGAATTTGCAAACTTCCACTTAAAAATAATACATTAATATACTAATATTGTTACCATAACCATTCATCAGTTCCAATCATTTTCTTTTTACAAACGATTACATCAGGAAACATAATACACAAGCTTGAAGGTTTTTCAGGTGAAAATCGATTTTCACAATTCAAAGTTATTAAAATCTAAAATTATAATTTCCTAATTGTTTGAATATATTTGTGTGCACTTATATGTATTATGAAATCATAAACCCAAATTATTTTTTTTTGGAATCTTTCATATAAAAGATAATATCAGTAACAACCAATCAAAAAAACAAATCGTGAAAATTCTTAGCTCAAATATGAATTATTGAATAAAATCTTACAGCATAAGCACACATAATCAGAAGAAGAAATTACAAAGATTTCACAAACCAATTACAATATATAATATAAGCCACTAAATTAAAAGCCAAAAAAAATTATAATTAACGAAAATTCCGGAATTTATATGCATAACAATAACGAATATTCTAAAACATAAATATCGATCTTTTTCAAATCAATAATCACATATATATATATATATAAATACTTAAATAAATAAAAAACTAAACTTACTCAAATAAACTAAAATTTCGGTAAGTTGTTAAATTAAAAACAAATATAGCAGATCGTAAATAGCTGAGTAATCTAAGTATTGTCATATATTTAAAATATCAGTAACAACCAATCATAACATAAAATCGCAGCATTTAGTAACTTAAATCTATATAATTAAAACAAGAAAATCTAATCTACCATATTTTGAACAAACTTGATCCGCAAGATCACTAAACACACGGCTAATTTTAAGAAAAGATTTGACTTGGAATACCCTAAACCGTCGAACTTTTCTTTTCCTATATATACAGCATTTTGACTTCAGAGCAAACACAGATTTCAATACCTTTCTCAAGATGTCTTCTAAGAAAAAGATTGTGTACCATGATGAGATTAGGCCGTGTAAAACAATGGATGATTGAAGCCAAGTCATACATACCTGAAAACCATTGAAAGCCAATTTTTGTGAGACTTTAGAGATCATTCTTGCAGACAAAAAGGTATACATTGCGATATTTTTCGTTTCCAGTTTAATATTTGTTTAACAGAAATCATCTACTAATTAAATTGTTATGCATTTTCTTCCACGGGGATCAGAGTTCATGCTACTTTTATGACGGACTATTTGTGATCTTTGGTGGATCAATGGATTGTTGCCAAATGGAAAACTACTGACAACTTCCAAGTAAGTAAACACATTACGGACCAACAAAAGGTATTGTACAAGATCAGTTTCATCAATCTGACGGTTATTAAGCCTTATGATTTCTAGAATGATTCCCTACCTATTCAGAATAGGTTCAATTCCTAACACAGTACTAATAGATCAGTTCTATTCCTTATATTAGTTCAAATCATATTTGCAGAAAAAGATAAAAACTATGGCATTTTTAAGTTTTCAAGCTTCAAATTCTTTTACTGAGATCTCGAATAATTTTTTGTTCTTTAAAATTTCTTCCAGGGGATCAAAATCCATGTTACTTATAGGAAGAACTATTTGAAATCTTTGGTATTTGGTAATACACTTATCTTTCTAACTACCATTCTCAGTTCGAATCCTAATTACTAGAATGTTAATATTTTAAAATTAACTTACTTGGAAACGTATTGCAGAATGTTCACTGTTCCATGACCTTCATATGAATAAAGATCTAGCTCCAAAAATTGCACTGCACGGCCTGCACTTCAATTGTATACACTAATACGACAACTCAATAAAATATACAAATATCTGTATACTTGTGTGAAAGTTTCCTTTGACTTTGCCTCATGTCTTTCATCTTCAAACAACTTATTTTTTTTTTCTGCAAAATTAAGAGGATACATTAGTAAACAGTTCAGATTTTACAAATATTAGATATATTATAGTTAACAGTTCAGATTTTTCAAATATTAAATATATTATACTCATTGTATGCGTTGAAATTTATGTAATCTAATAAAAATATACCTTTTCAGGTTTTTATGACTGAGGTTAGAGTCACATTAATAAAGCTCTGCTTATACTCTTTGTCACTGCGTGACCTACTCTCTGTCACTGTAAGACCTGCAAATGAATTGTAAACATTAATAAGACAGCAAAATAATTTCTAGAACATCCTAGACAGTTACTAGGGTATAAGACAACTCAATAACCCTTTACTCTGATTTGATTGTACTTTGGCTCATACACAGTTTATTATCTTCTTAAGAAAAAATATTATACTGAGTGAAAAAATGATAAAAAAGAAAAGTAGTGAAATAATTACATCTATTATATCTCAGACACCTCTGAATCCATCTTAATATCATCTGATGAAAGTACAAAACTCATCGTTAAACATGCAAGACATTTACAAAAACATTAAAAATATTTAGATATGGGAGATATACACGTGTATGATCGGTAATTATTTAGCATGTTTC